GGGTTTACTACTTTGTGAGAGCAGCTCGCCGAACTCAGAAAGCCTCTTTTCTTAGTACTACAGGGCTATTCGGAAAGGTACAGTGTAGAAGCAGGCAGGTAGGAGAGATCCATGAGCAAGTGGGGGGCATGGTGAGCAGAGCTCCATGCCCACCTGAGCTTGCCACTCTCCTGGGACCTGAAGTCCTTCAAACCCCGTCACTGGGGCTTCTGTGGAGGTCTTCACATAAGTACTACCCTTGAATGATTGAGTCTTGAGCTTTTTCCCTTCCTGGAGGCTGGATGGAGGGTAACCTGAGAGGTCTAGGTTTTGCAGCTTGGTTGTTGTGGTGTCCAGTTCCCATCGTAAAGCAATCTAGGGCCTGCTGATGGTTGCCTCTGTAGACCCAAGAGATGGTCTTATCAACATGGAAATTCCCCGGGAATTTGGGGGCATGGAGAGAAGGATGAAATGTCAGAATAAAAGACACCCCATCACTCAGGAAATAAGGGTTTTAGGAGTGCCGTGTCAGGAACTGGGAACAACCAAAGAACAGTATTTCTAGTTACTCTGCAACTATGTGTTAGACCGTCTTATTAGCCACCTTTGCTTCCTGGGGGTGATAAAGGTATTGGGGTTAGTGGGAGAATATGTGTCTTGGTCATTTTCTTCATTCCTCTACACCTGCAACTCACAGGAGGGAGGGTTCATTTCTGCTCATGTTCTAGAAGTTCCAGTCCTGTCATGGCTGGCTGGTTCCAGATTGGGAGGCCCGGCAGAGAGGCCTGGTGGTACAGAGCTGCTCAACTCACAGCAGTCTGGAAGCAGAGAGACAGAGGTGCCAGAAGGGGAGCTGCACCCTCCCGGGTCTCACCCCTAGGTCTCTTGTGATCAGACCCATGTGCTCGTGTTTGTGAACCAGTCACCTCACTTTGGGGGACATCGGGGTATAAATCACAGCAGTACCTTTAGCTTTTATGCGTATATACTAAAGTAATCCAGAGTGTAAAGTATCATGTCTTTAACTTTCAGTTACTTCAGAAAAAAGAGAGGGAGAGATAAATACTGCAAAAGATCTTTGTATATTTTTAAATTTCAAAATAAAATGATTGAAGGAGGGAAAGTATGAGTTTGTTTTTTTGAGTAACCTTCAGGATCCTTTTTTTCAAGTTGCTCTAGAATTTTCAGTAGTATTTTTGGTACCAGGGATTGAACTCGGGTCCTTGTGCTTGCGAGGCAGGTGGTGGAACCACTGAGCTACATACCTGGCCCTTCAGTAGTATTTTTGGAGGATTGCAATTAAGTTAAAATCTGCTACTGTAAGGAAAATTGGTCATATTTATAATTTTGAGTCTTCCAGTCCAAGAGCAAGATAATTCTCCTTTTATTCAGATTGATTTTATTGTCTCAGAGTTTTGTAGTTTTGTTTTATAGGTCATGCACACTTAGGTTAAGCAGGTAGACTTTTTTTTTTTCTTTTTGTGGCTGTTGAGAATATTTTATTCTATTCTAGTTCTTTTTGGTCGTAAGATAAACAACCTCAGTCTTTTAATATTTCAGGGGGTTCTTTGGAGTTTTCCATGTGCACATTTGATGTCTTTCAAATAATAATAAAATGGTCTCCAAAATGTGTATCTCATATCTACTTATATCGGATAGAATTTCTAGAACAACATTACATAATAGTGATTCTAACGAGCACTTTCAACTTGTTTCTGTTTTTAATGGAGTTAACACTGTAGTTGTATTTTACGCATAATGCTGATTGTTGAGTGGGAGTATATCTGAGTGTATGTTTTATGTTAAACAATGAATGTTGGATTTCATCAAGTGCTCTTTTTTCTCTTATAGAATTTTATCTGACTTTTCTTTCATTTCAATTATATTTATAGATTTCCTAATATTATTAATAGATTTACTGTATTAATAGATTTCCTAATCCTTAGATATACTAATAGATTTCCTAATTTCCTAATAGATTTTCTGAGAGTAGTATCTCTTTTAAAATGAGGGTGATACATTGAGTTTTTAAATTTTGTTTTTTAATTATCTTTTTCAGGCTTTGGTTTCAGTTTTATTTTGCTTTATAAAATGTGTTAAGCTTTTCATCATTTGCTATGCTCTGAAAAAGTAATATGTTGGTGTTATTTGAAGATTAGAGATAATTCATTTATGTCTGAAGAGTTATAGTACTTAGCAGCACTCCTTTGGGCAGTTATTTCATTTTGCCATATTCCTCTTTTTATTTTCTTGAGTCGAGTGATTGATTTCTCTGTGCCTTATTCACTATCGGAAGTACTTAGGGTTGTATGCAGTGATTGGGACAAAGAAGTGAGTGACAGCCCTGCCATCTGGCTGCATTTCCTGACCTCCTGAATCTTTGTTGTCTTAACAGTCTGTGTCCTTGTCAGCTAACTATAGAATCCAATAAGTAAATTCTCTTTTGAATTTTGTACTATCTGCAGAATACTTTTAAGATGCTGATTGACCTCATGAAAAAAAATCTTCATGTGGCCCAATAAGTATAGAGATGTTTCATCTTGTTTTGCTTATCCTATCTTGTTTATGTTTTCTTGTTATTTCCTTTGTTGTCTGTATTTTACTGTGGGTTGCTTCCCCTCCTACCACAGTATGTTATTTAGTTCTGCAGGTAATTATACATGTAAGTGTGCCTACACCCTACTACTTGTATCTACTTCAGCAAAGGCTACCTTTTGATTCGCACCAAGAGGTATGAGGAGAGGTAGTTTTGTCACCAGTTCGGCCTCCCCTGTTTTTCACTGATACTGTTATTCTTCTCTGCCTTCTTCCCATTTACAGTATTTTAGCATTGCAGGTATGACATGTTCTCTGTAATGTGTTACTAAGTGAATGGTGGGGTTTAGTGCATTGTGTGCAGTATGCTGTCTTTAAAAAAGGGAAGACATCAAAGACTATATCAGTGTGTGTGTGTGTGTGTGTGTGTGTGTGTGTGTGTTTCTTTTGTTACTAAAGATTGAACTCAGGACCTTGTGCTTGTGTGGCAGGCAGCAGCTCCACTGAGCTGAATCCCCGGCCCTATATCAGTATCTTCTTTTGTGTGAGAACAAACTGGAGTAGTACAGGGGAAATCAGTGCATGAGCTTCAAAAATAAAAATATCAAAATTAGTCTTCTCTTACCCTCCCCCTTCTCTCTTCTTCTTTTTCCTCTCCCTCCCTCCCCCGTTTCTCCCCCTCTCTCTCTTTCTTTCCAGTGTCACTCATGTAGCTCAAGCTGGCCTTGAACTCACTATGTAGCTCAGGCTGGCTGTCCTGCCTCGGCCTCTCAAGTCCTGGGATTACAGGTGTGCGCCACTACTCCCAGCGGAAGAGGACTGGGTACTGTGTTCTTTAAAATAATGCAATTCAGTGCTCGCTTCGGCAGCACGTATACTAAAATAATGCAATTCATTGAAAAATATTGAAAATCTGTTGTTTACTAGGGAGCTGAGTTCAAGTTAATATTTGATGGTATACATCCTGTAGCATTCAGTTTCAGTGTTTCATTTACTTTGGGGGAATTAATACCAGGTTACCTCTTCAAAGATAAAAGAATATTTGCTTCATTTTGATAAATTTTGACCTTGCTTTTGTTATTATTTTCATTTATTAATTATTACAGACATTCCTTATTTAGCAACTGAGTTGCATCCTGTGAGCAGTTAACTGAATTGGTTGCTAAATGAGGAACAGTATATCACATGTACATTACAATATTCAGAACAAAGCAATGGTCAGAGGAAACCCCATCTTGATGACTTTGCTTTTATTTCTACAACTTCTTACATGCAGCACTGTAACGTATACTAACATAATAAGACTGCTGTACTGTACATACATATGATCAGCAAAACTTACAGTACTGCGTTTGAGGCTGCAGTGCCACTCGCGTTGCTCCCCAAGCAGCTGTCAGATGAGGAATGTCTGTAGAACAGCTTGCTGCATAGTCCAAGCTGGCTTCGAACTCAGGATCTTCCAGCCCCAACCTCCAGAGTTCTGGGATCAAGGCTCGCACCACCAGATCTTGCCTTTGTTTTTAAATTCTTCAAATCGCATATATCTGAATGTGGGGCTGGGGATGTATCTCAGTTGCAGAATATATACTAACCATGAGGCTCTGGTTCTTTTCTCAGCATTGCCAAATGGTAAATTAAGAAAACAGTCTTTTTTTGAGATAGTCTTGCTGAGTACTCCAGGCTGGGCTTGAACACACTTTGGAGTCCAGGATGGCCTTGAATTCACAGCAGTCCTGCTTCAGCCTCTGGAGTGCTGTGATTACAGGGGTGTGCCACCGTGACCAGAGGAAAGCAGCCTTAACCAGTGTCTGAATATTCACAGTTTAGCCCTCATTATGTCTGCTGAGCCGGATTGGGTTCATCTGTCCTTTCCAGGATTTTCTTCTTCTGTCCTGGTTGTGGCAGTTTTTTTTTTTTAACCTTTCTTGATGGAATTGAGGCCACACCAGTTAAGCTGTGTTTTTTGTTTTGGTCTTAATCAGTGTCATAGAAGAGTCAAAACCTCTGCCCCAATCCTTGCCTCGTGAAAGTCCGTGAGAGAAGTGTTGCCACCTAGCTAGAAGTGTATTACTGAGCTACATCCCTAGCCCTTCTTTTGAGGCAGGGTCTTGCTCAGTGCTGAGGTTGGCCTCAACCTGCAGTCCCTGTGCTGCAGCCTCTGGAGGGGTGGGGATTAGCGGTGCGTGCCCTTGAGCTAGCAAGTGTCGGTTCTTTCCTCCTTTTTCTCCTCTCTCAGGGAATAGAACAGTGTTGTTAAGCATGGGTGTTGTAATTCTGGAAGTTGGCTCCAGACATCTCCTGTGTAAAGGACAGAAGCTGAATACAGAAGAGCTTTTGTTTTTCCTTGGACTGATCAGAACAGACCATCCCAGGGTGTGATATGCATGCGTTCCTGGAGGGGCCCAGCACCTTCCTATTTGTTCTCTTTATGTTTTTTCTCTCACATGTAATACGTGTTACATATATTTCATCATCTTCTTACTGTTTTATGTGTTTTATTTCAGTTGGTCGCATTATGTTTCAGCTCTTCTCAGACATATGTCCAAAAACGTGCAAAAATTTCCTTTGCCTATGCTCAGGTAAGTGAATTTTAAAGTTATTTCCAACAAAAAGTTATGACTTACAGTATTACCTTGCTTTAACAGAGTAGTTATTTTCCTGGGGGGGGTGTCTGTGAACTGTTTTGCAACAAGAAATGTTATTTACCCTACTATATGAAATTAAGGAATCATCTCTGTAAGAGGAAAAGAAAAGAAAAAAAAAGGTCTTAAAAGTGAAAAAATAGTAAGACCACTTCATTTAAGGGAGTCTTCTGTCTACATTGTTATTTATAAAATAATAGACATATTCAAAATTGCTTGGTCTTGGTAGAATTTTACAAATTTCAGTACTTTTAACAAATCAAGCATTTGCATATTGCACAAGAAATTTAGGCCTGGAAGGTGGAGAGGCAAAACAAATGCAATTGTTCATTATGTATAATTTGATTTACATTCTAAATAAGTAGGAAAAATGGAGATATGTTTAGTTTGAAGTTACGAATAGCAAACTAATATTTTAAAGCCAATAGTAGGTTATACTTTATACCCCTCCCCCAAGTTTTGTTCCAGTTTCTTTGATTCTTTTCTTTAGAGAAGCAAACATACTGTCTGTAGCATGTGGGTCTGTACCATGACATTCCACAGTCTCCTGCTACTTTGCTTTACTTCCTGCTGGGGTTCATTGCATGCGTACTGATTGCCAAGCTCTCTGGTTTGTAGGTCTTGTACAGTGCCTAGAAATTAGGAAGTGCTTTCTATATAAAAAAATGGATTTTGTAGCTGTATTTCTTTTTTTTCCCCCCAGGGGAGAAAGGCCTTGGGAAAACAACTGGAAAGAAGTTATGTTATAAAGGTTCTACATTCCATCGTGTGGTTAAAAACTTTATGATTCAGGGTGGGGACTTCAGTGAAGGTAGAGCTAAAAGTTGTGTTCCTAATAATGCTCTGTCAGCATCTTGTTATTGGTGTTAATTGTAAATATCATGTCACAAAGTGATGTAAATATGTGGTCATAGTATAGTTCAATGAATAAATGTTTAAGATTAAGAACGTATAAAAAGTAAAATACTATGACATTTTATTTTGCTTTCATATAATTTATTGTAGGATTATTGTATAATTACTTTTTTTCATCGAGTTTATTGGTATGTTTTAAGTAAACAGTACAGTTATATTCATCATTGGGATCTTGTGCCTTTACGTGACAGATCTTGGTTCTTATTTTTTCCCCATTCCCCTGGCCTCCTTTATCCCTTCCACCTTCTCCTATTTACAAAGACTTTGTTTCCATTTTTTTCCTTTTCTCATAGTGCTTATTTTCCCTTATTTTCTTTCTCCTACCCTTCCCACTTCCCCTACACCTTTAGCCCTTTTCTTCCTATTTCACATTCAATTACACCATT